GGGCGGCGGAGGACGCGGCAGCGGCCGCGGCGGGCAGCGGCGCCGCGGCCGAGGCGTTCCCGCCGCCGCCGCCGCTGCCGCCGCCGCCGGAGCAGCAGCAGGGGCAGCAGGAGGAGGAGCAGCTGGGGCTGCATCTGGAGTTTTTCCTGCCCTCCTCATGCTATGCCACGATGCTGCTGCGAGAGTTGACTAAGGAGGGCACGTCCAAGGCCACCCACAAGGCGCTGTCGCTCGGCGCGCGGCAGCAGCGGGAGCGGCGGCAGGAGCAGGAGCAGGCGGAGCAGCAGGCGGAGCAGCAGGCGGAGCAGCAGGCGGAGCAGCTGGGGGCGGCGGCGGCGGCACCAGAGGGCGCGTCGCGGGGGGATGTGGACATGGCGCCGGTGGAAGCTGGCTTGGGTGGCTGCGGCGGCGGTGGTGGCGGCGGCAGCGGTGCAGAGGGGTGAGATGGGGTTCGCTGAGCCCTGGCACGCACCGCGCTGCGAGGGCCAAGCTTGAAGTCAGGAGGGCTGGAGTAATTGCTCGATCTGTGTGGCGTAGGTGGCGCAAATATCTGAATGAAAAGGCATGGCTTGGGGGTCAGTGCTCAGCTGATTGATACAGCTGCGGGCAGGAGGACGCTGGTCAGGCTCCAAACGACGCACGTCAGTCGGTTGTGCTGGGGTTGCTGCATGGCAGCAGCAGCGAGGTGCCTGCGTCCTGGAAGGGGCCAAACATCGTTGGAAGGATGATGAGCTGCGTATATTACCCTAACCTATGTAGGCGGTTTTGGGCTTCTTGACAGGGCAGTGCGGAGACGAGCAGTGGGCGCTCTGAGGTCAAAGCCGTTGACCCAATGGCGGGGACCTGCGTGCTGACATCCAGCTGTGGTGACCAATTGCTGCAGCAGTTTGTGCAGGTGTTCGTGGTGGTGCTTCATGCGCATGCAATATTGTCGCCTATGCATCAGCTGGCGCCCAACGAGACTCCACATGCTGTGCTTCCACTCGACTCATCAAGCGTGGGAAGCTGCCGTCCGGGCCGCCTACCCGCCTGGTCGACGTGAAGGTAGCGCGGACACCAGGCAGACGTGATTCCGTGCATCTGGCCGCAGGCCCCTTTTTTGGCGTCTTCTGGGGGCGGTGCCGCGCCATGCGAGAAGCGGGGGCCGCAACTTCCCTGGCCTCTGGGCTGACTACATACCAGTGACCTGCAGCTTCACGGCTCGTGCTGCAAGCGATTTTCCGAGCGCTTCCATAAATCTATATTTTCATGCGCTTGCGCTCGGGACGGCGCGGAAACCTGGCGTGCTTCATGATTCGCCTTTGAGCCTTGGGCCTTGCGGTGTCCCAACTGTGTGACCGCTGCACTTTCACCGTTCTTGGAGAGGACGGGTGAGTTTGAGGCCTTCACGCGTTATTTCGTGTCAAGTCAGTATCACATCGCGTCTAGACACCAGCTTTTGCGGCAGTCACTCGCCCCCATCACAGAGGGCGCTTCTTACCTGGACGCAAACGTGGCGCAACGGCGCGGATATCACGGCGAGGAATCTGAATAGCTTTTCAAAGCGCCCGTGGACGCCCCTCAGTGGGCCGCCAACGGACCGATGGCATCGGCGCTCCTGAGGCGCCGCGGCGCATCGGCGCCAGGCGCCTGCTTGGCCGCATGGGCCTGCTGCCTGCTGCTGGCATGTGCCGCACTACCGGCCCTGGGGCAAGGTGGGTTTCGTGGGGTTCTCTTCAAGTCCGCCCATGAGCCCTTTTTGGAGCGGCTGGCTGGGGCCGCCCGGCTGCTGCAGGCCCCACTTGCAGGCCCGTTTCAGGACCCATGACCTCTGCAGTTACGACCTCATGACGATCGACAGCAGCTTGACAGGGCGTCTCAGCACTCATTCTTTAGCCGGGCTGACGCCGCGGTACACTCCTGCAGCCCCGTTGCCCCCCCCCCCTGCGCTGACCGCTGCCTTGCACCGCACCCGGCCGCCTTGCGCACGCAGGCGGCGCCGGCGGCGGCGACTGGGACGCGCTGACATCATCCAACGTCACAGCGCCCGTCAACGCGACGACGCCCATCAATGCGACCACGCTGGTGGGTGACGCGGGGAATGACTACGACGATGGGTCACCGGGCGCAGACGGCGCGGCCGCAGGGGACAACGACTACGCTGACCCGACAGCGTCACCCGCGAATAAGACGGCGTCACCCGCCGTCATACTGACGGCGTCACCCGTGAACAAGACGGCGTCACCCGCCGTCATACTGACGGCGCCGCCCGCCAACGTGACCGCGCCGCAGGGCAACGCGTCGGCGCCGGCCTCGCCCTCGCCGCGCCCGCCGCAGTCCCCCTCTCCGGCGCCGGCCGCCGGCAACAAGCCAACCACGCTCACGTTCGATACGTGGAAGACCACCGAGCAGGCGTCGCCGATTTCGTCGTACGCGGGGCTGACCTGGACGGGCGCGGCGGTGAGTGGGCGGGCGGAGACGGTGCGCTCGCCGAGGTTGTACGGTCATGGGCGAGGCGCTTGCGCGCGTGTGGTGCGGTTGCCGCCGTTTTTGGAGGGTTGCGAGAAGAGGGAAAAGTCTCTAGGTGATCTGGATCGGGGAGGGTGTTTGGGAGGGTGAGAACAGCAGGGCCTGGGCAGGAGTCGCAGGCAGCGCCTGGGGCAGTCACAGGCGGCGGCGTGCTGCGTGGCGCGGGCGGCTGGGGCGCGCAAGGCCAGGTGCAGGTGGCTCCCCCGCCGCCTGCGGCGCGGGACAGGGACCCCCGAGCAGAGCATCGGCGGGAACATCCGCTGCAGCCTGCACCAGGAGGCGCCGCCTGGATGCCGCCCCTGGGGCGGCAGCGGGCCGGTCGCCGTATGCAGGTCACGCAGCGGCCGAGCGCCCTGACTCAGCCCTGACACAGCGCGCCCTCCTCCTCCGCTCCGCGCGTCGTGCGTAACCCGTTCGCCCGCCCACCCGCCCGACCGCCCGCAGATCTACAATGGCAAGCGTGCGATCGGCAAGAACCTCGTGGCCGGCGTGAGATCACAGCCCAACGCCCTGGACTTCATCCCCGGGAAGACCCCCATCACCATATCCGTCCCGAAGGGCTCCAACCGCCTGTTCGCGCCGCACTCGGTGTGGGCGACGTACGTGGAGGACTACAACTATCCCGAAAGGTGCGCGCGCCGCGAGATACTTTTGATTATCCCACACACCGCAGCACCTGTGATTTGTATCTTGAATTTTTCAGCAATACATGTTGTGGGCGGACTATGTGGTTGGATGCCGCACGGCCCCGCATACATGGTGCCTGCTGCTGGTTTTGATGTTGAGAAGGAGGCTGCGCGCGCGCGGGCGTCTGCATCCTCGTAGGGGGGGGGAGGGAGGAGTAGGAGGGAAGGTGCAGGGAAGCGCCCCCCTGCCCCAGGGCGGCCGCGCGTCACTAGTCCAATCTTACTGCAGCGCGAGCCGCCAGGCAGCGCCGGCTTGATGGCCAAGCCGCGGCGGCCAGGCATCCTTTGCACGTGGCCGCGTCGCCCAATCTTTTCGTTAACTCCCAGTCAGCTCTAATGCGACCTGGACCTCAAACCCATCTGAATACACAAATTGAAACAGGGATGAGATTCTGCTGGTGTTCACCGGTTACGACGCCAAGGACACCATCGTGGGCCAGATCTTCACACTGCTCAAGGCGGGGGTGCCTAACCAGGTGACTGCGAGTTTCTGAGGTTTATATAGACTTAATTATTGATTATTGATTGAGTTCAAGGATGCAGCGTATCCTGTGCGCCGCTGAAGAACGCGGTGCGCGCTGCCTGCTGGGGCCCGCGGCGGGACCAGCAGCGCGATGGCGCGCTCGCGACTCGGGAGTGCCGGCCAGCCCGCGCCCGCGGTTCGCAGGCCCAGCGCGCGCGTGCGTTGCGGGCGGGTTTTGCGACGCCGCGCGGCCAAGGGCCGTGGCCATCTCGTCTCCAGTGCACGCCCCCGTCTGCATCCGTCGCCCATCCGTCGCCCATCCGTCGCCCATCCGTTGTCCATCCGCGCAGATCGACTTCCCGCTGTCCTTCAGGCAGGGCATCACGCGGATGACCATCGCCCCGCAGCCCACCCGGAAGACCGCCGGCTCCGATCCCGCCCAGATTGAATTCGCAATGGATGACTTCACCCTCGTCCTCCCCTACGCCCCGAAACCCGCCACCGCTGCGAACGGGACCGCTCAGGTCGGTGCGAAGATCGAGAAGTACGCCGGCATCCCATTCGTGCCCGATTACTACGCGTACTGCGACGCCAAGGCAGCCGAGGCGAGGCCCGAGTGCCTGCGCTACAGGTGCGCAACTCGCGCGGGCAGACGCGCTGCAAGCGCCTGCGCGCCGGCGCGCCGCGCGTGCCCTCTGTGTGGAGCGCAGGGCCAGCCCTCACAACACGCCGATCGCAGCGTGTGCTGCAGTTAGCGTTGCCTGCACCAGCGAATCATCCTCTTGCCCCCTTAGTGCACCCAGCCCCGCAATCAGCAAGCCGGAAAGTCCCAACACGCCCACCTTTGCATCCGCAACCCCCGCCCCTGATCCCTCAACCACAAAACACAACTTGCCAGGTGCGAGCAGGCAGACCGCGCGCCGACTGCGCAGTGCGACGAGTACTTTTCACACTGCGACGACCTCGACTGGAACACCCCAGCCTGCACGCCGCCGTGCGAGGCTTTGGATGACCCCTCCGCCGACGCCCGCTGCGCGGCGCCAAAAAACGAGGACGCGGCGTCGCCGGTCGACGGGCCAGAGGAGCCCGCTGACGAGGAGGGGGACTACGGCGACGCCGCGCAGGGGGCCGCCGGGAACGGTACGGCGAACGCCACAGCGGTGAACGCGACGGAGGTTGTGGCGAACGCCTCCGCGGCCGCGCCGGTCGCTGTCGTGCCGGCTGCGCCGGCGACGCCCGTCGCGCCTGCTACGCCGGCCGTGCCCGTCGTGCCCGTGACGTCCGTCGCGCCTGAACTGTCACCGTCGTCTTCTCCAGCCTCGCCCTCTTTGTCGCCGTCGCCGTCGCCGTCGCCGTCGCCGCGCCGCCGCCGCCGGCGCTCGCCGTCCCCGTCGCCGCTCGCCTCCGCGCAGGCTGCGCCGGCCGCGCCCGCACCGGAGGCGCCGGCCGCGGCAGCCAACGCGTCGGGGCCGCCGGCCGCGGCAGCCAACGCGTCGGGGCCGCCGGCGGCCCTCCCCGCGTCGCCCGAGCTGCCCCC